CATACATACATACATACATACATACATACATACATACATACATACATTTGTTTTGTCAGTTGCTTACAAGATAACAGGTATAAGTATAAACATAGTTTTGAATATATGAGATGGATACGTATAAGAAAAATAAAAAGAAACAATAGGACAGGGACGGTAGGCTTATGCACGCCCCCTACAGGCCTCTTAGGAAAGGGGTGAGGTCGTTAGTAGTCAGTCTAAGGTTAAAGTTTTTGGGGTTTGGGGAAGAAACCACAGAGTCAGGTAGAGTATTCCAGACATTGACCACTCTGTTACTGAAGTCGTATTTCCTGCAGTCAAGTTTGGTGTAGTTAACCTTGAGTTTGTATCTATTGTTTGCTCTTGTATAGTTATGGTTGAAGCTGAAGTATTCATTGACAGGTAGGACATTGCAATGTATGATTTTATATACTATACTTAGATTAGACTGACGGCGGCGTAGTTCTAGGTTTTCTAGGTCTAGAATTTCAAGTCTGGTGGCATAAGATATTCTGCAATGAGTAGAGGAGCGGAGAACTCTTCTTGTGAAATATTTCTGGACTTTCTCAATTGTGTTAATATCAGATACATGATATGGGTTCCAGACTGATGAGCTGTATTCAAGTATAGGTCTAGCAAATGAAGTAGAAATATATGAAGTAGAAACTGGTGTAAATAGATCCATTTGCAGCATAGAAGCAGCCTGTGTATTCTTAACTGAGAATGAGAGTAACTAAATGGTAGGAGAGTTTCTATAAAATAAGTATTCCTATGTTTATGCTTGCTGAGTCTAGATTTCCAGTTTCTCTTCCTCTCCATGAATATGTCTATACTTATGCCTTTCTCTATATGATAATATTTTGTGTACATGTATACAGAAGGGACAGCCATGGATTCTACAAATAGGTGCCTTATTTAATTAGTAGTTATCATTTACTAATTAAACTTTCTTTCCTGGCCTCACATTTGTTTGGCACCTGGCCTCTCATATATTTGCATATATCTATGAGCACAGTTGCTCAGAAAGCTGGAAAATCTCCAGGATTGCTTTCCCAGCAGACAAAGTTGAGTGTCTTTAAACTGGTCTCGGCTTTCTTTGGAAACCAGCATATAAATAGCAAGATTGCTTCTTGGGCAAGATTCTACAGTGATGTATTTTCAGTGCCAAAATATGCAACAGACTGGGAAGAGATGACAGGATCTATAATCCCTCGTGCAAGTGTGGGTCTTTTGCTAATTCATGAGAAAAAGCCATTTTGAGTCAGTTTTGACTCCTGTAGACTACCTAGATAAGTCCTTCAGTTTTCTTGGAAAGGTTTTCAGAAGGGCTTTGCAGTTGCCTTCTTCCTAGGGCTGAGAGAAAGTGACTGGCCTGAGGTCACCTTTGTTCCTAAGGCGAAACTAGAACTCATGGCCTCCTAGTTTCTAGCTTGGTTTCTTTAACCACTATACCAAGGGTGGCTTACTTAACTTGCCTTATGTTCCCTAAAGTAAATATGTCTTTTCTTACATACTCTTCTGGGGAAGGTGATATTCAAAGCACGTTTGTTGTTTTCCATGTGTGAGAGAAACTGTTTTTAATACATTTTGTCATATTCATGTTAGATTAATATGTTACATTTGCTTTCTACAGAAAATACGTTATTACCTGCAAATATACCGAAGTACCTTTATCTGTGCCTTGGGACCAGAGTAACAAGGTAAGCTTTCATCTACCTCTCTGACCTTCCAATTGATTCTGTTTACTTTATTGTTACAATTTTTAGACTTGGGGATTCCATTCCATTCCTTTCAAACACCACAGTGATCCAAACATCTTTTTTTCTCCCTTTGTAGTCTCCACTTCAAATTCCTAGGGATATTTTGCTTTTTAGCCTCTTTTGTATGCAGAAGCTGATGGGACTTGGAGCTGATGGGATGGCATCTTCAAAACACTATGCTTTTGTAGGGGGGGGGAGGTCTCAAAATAAGTCATGCCCTATAGTTGCTCTCAACAAAACGTTCAGGTCTAGCAGTAAGGAGCTCCATGCATTAATTATCTGGCATAAAAGCCCTAGAATTGTTATTTATCAACCAAGATGCAGTGTCTTATCTGCTGTCTTGGAAACGGCACTACACTATCCAGAATACAAAATGACCGGAGTATCTCTTCAGGCACAACCTTGTTCATATGTCTGGAAAACCAAACATTCAGTAGTAAAGAGTTTACTTATTTCCCGCTGGTTTATCATTGCAGAGATCAGTTTAATTTTACACCCTGGTTTTAGAAACTTAAAAACACTTGCAAATTCCACTGATGTTTTCTGGGATTTTTAGAACCGCAAACCCACCCACCTCTACCCGGTAGTTGCAACTGTTGCAAAAAAAATGCAGTCATATCTTATTTCTAGAGCCCTTGACAGGTATTTAGTGCTTTCATTGAGCTGCATGGTTAAGCCCATGGTCCACTGATTTCATACAGGTCAAAGCACTGAGGAGGGGAGGACATCAGAGAAGGAGATAGCGTTGCTCAATACATTTTTTTAAAAAAGCTAGAAGAAGACACGAAGTTGATTGTTTTTTTTTAATATATACCCAATGCAGGTTTATCTGAGTTATAACAACGTTACTGCACTGAAAACATTGGTAGCTAAAGCCAACTGGGAACTTGCATCTGAAAGAGAAAAGGTAACTAACCCATTTTCAAGCAGCTCTGTTCAGCCCCAGTGGCACAATGTATGATCAAGTGTTCAGGTTCTCAAGGGTCCCTCTCTCCAAGTAGCAATTCCCCTGCACAGAATATCATCGTGGATCACTTTCCCCCAACTGGGTGTCTTCCAGGTGTCTTGAAATTACAGCCAACTGAATTCTCAATTTTGATTGTACGGTTAGTCTTCAACTTACAACAGTTCATTTAGTGAACTGTTACAATGGCACTGGAAAAAACAACTTAGGATTGTTTTTCATACTTACAACCAATGTAGCATTGCCATGGTCATGTGATCAGAATTTAGACACTTGGCAACTGACTCCTATTTATGATGGCTTCAATGTCCTGGGGTCATGTGTTCACCTTTTGCAACCTTCTGAGAAGCGAAGTCAGCAGGGAAGTCAAAATCACTTAGCAACCACATAATTAACTTCACAACTGCAGTGATTTACTTAATAACTGTGGCAAAAAACGTGGTAAAATGAGGCAAAACTCACTTAACAAATATCTTGTTAGCAACATAAATTTTGGTCTCAATTGTGATTATAAGTTGAGGACTATCTGTATTTCTGGGGATTGAAGATAGGAGGCTGAAGAACGTTGTCCATCTTTAAGACAAGGCAGTCTGGTCCCTCTAAATCAGAGGTCCCTAACTCCTGGGCTACGGCCTACTACCAGACTGTGGCCTATTTGGAATTGGGCACATGAATGGCTGGCTAGAGTGCATGCACATGCACACATAGCTCCACTTGTGCAAGCGGTGGGCCAGCGGGCACTTGCGTATGTTATTATTATTCTTATCTTTATTGTCATAATACAACATGTGTACAATGAGATTGACTGAGCCTCCCTTGATGCACTCCCCCCCCAACACAAATCACAGTGAGGACAGAAGTCCCTAACCCAGTCCCAATCTTATGAGACTATGTGACCTTGTTGCACAATGCGCCGGCCCTGCAAGTCTATGCGCTACTCATGCAAGTCAAGCTGCGTGCATGCGCACCGGCCAGCCGCTTACTCCAAATAGGCCACGGATTATGTGATCCAGTTCTTCTCTTCCCCCTCCTAGCTGGGCCACCAAGCCACAAAGTTTGGGGACTGCTGCTCTAGATTGTTTGAACCACCATTTCCACCCACTCTCGCTATGGACTGCATTGGGTAGAACTGATCGGAATCAAACTCAAAACCTCTATACGTCAGTGGGTTTTTTGTCTCCTTCCCATCCTAGTTGACAAATTGCCCAGATGACAACACCATTGTGGGAGATAAGGACTTCTAAACATTTTGATTGCTAATTTGAGTTAACTGGTACACAGTGATCTTTTTTAGTTTAAAGTAATAGAATGTTAACCTTACTGGTCCTCCTGGGTAACCTTACAAAACATTCTAGTATTGTAGTTTTTCTGTGTATTGTTTTGGTATTTCAGGCTGATTCTTTATTCTCATCTTCCACCATATAGCCTGGCAACAGGCTTTGCTTTAATATCTCCCAATGATCAGTTAAAATATAGGATTATTTTCATCAGTAAAATCATTGTCTTTCCCCTTTTTTGTTGGAGATATCACTTCATGTAGCTAATGCATAGGAATGCTGAATGGCAGAAGAGGAGTTAGGAGAACTTTACTTTCTTTAGTTAAAGGGCTTTGGCCACTCCTTTGAAATTGTTGCTCATCTTAGTAGTATAACACTTCTCTGCCAAGTGGCAGATGGATGGATCGCACTTCAGTACAGCTACTGTATATGGAAAGGCCCCAAATGAACTTTCCTTTTCCAAAGAGACAAGGACATCTTTGTCTCTAAAAGGGTCCTGAGTGATGCTTGCATGTGTAAGATGCATCAGGATATTTATAGCCAGTCCTCTTGCCGTTATTAAAAAAATCAAATTCATGTTGAGTAGAAGTGATGTCCTTAACAACAGAAATCATTATTTTTTTAAAAGGTGCAGAAAAATCAGCTACACATTTCTAGCAGTAACTGCTAACCTTTCTAACTGCATTCCACTTCAGGACTGGGTTCAGGCCATGATGCAAATCCCTGTGTCTGTATATTCTGGTTTAAATAGTGATAGAGAAAAAAAGAGAGAGAAATGATGGTGGATGGCGGTGATACTATGGAAGTGCCCTGATAGCAACTGATAGTAGTGCTCTAAGGCAGGGGTCCCCAACCACCAGGCCCTGGACTGGGACCGGTCCGTGGAACATTTTCTACCGGGCTGCCGGTTTGCTGGGCGCCGCCATCTTGTTTCGATGAGAAAGTGCTTCCGGGTGAGCTTTTCCAGTTGGAAAGCGGCGTTTGGGTCCTGAAGGAATCCTCGCGCCTTAGTTTCATCGAAGGGGGGGGGGGCGGCTTCGAACAAAACTAAGGCGCGAGGATTCTTTCAGCACCCAAGGCAAGGCGAGCCGAGCGACTGTCCCGAAGCCGTCCCGAAGCCCATCAACAAAGGTACAAAGGAGGAGTTGAAGGTGGCGGGGAGAAGCGGGGGACGGTTGGCTGGCCGGTCGCTCGGCTTGCCTTGCCATGCGTGCTGATGCCAGTACCGGGCTGCGGATCATTTTGTGATGCTGATACCGGGCCGTGGCACAAAAAAGGTTGGGGGCCACTGCTCTAAGGCTGACTGTTTAAAGTAGTTCTTTAAGGCTGCACTGTAGTAATGCAGTGGTTAGAATGCAGTATTGCAGGCTAATTCTGCCCATAGCCAGGAGTTTGATTCTGACCAGCTCAAGGTTTGACTCAGTCATCCATCCTTCTGAGATTGGTAAAATGAGGATCCAGATTGTTGGGGACAATATGCTGACACTGTAAACTGCTTAGAGAGTGCCATAAAGCACTATGAAGCAGTGTATAAGTCTTAAGTGCTATTGCTATTGTTATTGCTATTAAATAATCGTCATGGCACTATATAGCTGTTGAGGATATTCTAATGATTCTCAAATGTTCTTCCTCTAATGACTCTTATACTGATGAGATGAATTCCTTTGCAGGGACATTATTTGAGAAGTAATGCTGGTCCTCATTGAATTCAGATGATGCTGTTTTGTCACTTATTTTATTCATTTCATGGATAATAAAACAATGATTGCATGTTTTCACACTTGCGATAAACTATGTGGTAACATGTTGAACTCGATCATTTTAAGTTCAAGATGTACATTCTGGAGGAGGACACATTTCTCTCTGTCCGAATTGAGATGACCATCTGCTGTAATGTACTGCAAGCTTTCTTGTTGCTGTCTGATTTACGGAACAGACACGAGTGGGATAGGCATTGTGCGTAAGTACTTTGGAAAAACTTGGTTTTTTTTTTAAATTGGAGGTTGTGACTTCATTTTTTTAACTTTGGAAATTTCTGCACAGATGTTTAACAATAACAATAATAGCAAAAATCTTGAGTTTCTCATAATCTCAAATATTACTTATTAATCTTCTCATCTGTCATCTTACCTATTTCCTTAGCATTTTATGACTATAACTTTGTTGTTTGTATCTCCTGATTTATGTTGATTGCTTTTATCTAGTATCCTATTATGATTTATGTTGATTGCTTATTTAATATTCCTATGACTGTCACTGAATGCTGTATCTTATGATTTATGATGATCATATGTTATTATGATCATAATTTATCCCGTTGCTTTTGTGTACATTGAGAGCTTATGCACCGGAGACAAATTCCTTGTGTGTGTCCAATCACATTTGGTCAATAAAGAATTCTACAGTAGTTCTATTCATTGTTTGCATTTGGCAGAATCCTAACACAGGTCACATCTGATTGGCTGTGTTCATACAACACACTAAATTAAGCCAATTACAAAACTACTGGTTACATTTATACAACATGTCAAGTTTGTTTAGCTAAAATATTGGTTTATTGTGAGTGCATGTTGTGTGAACGCTGGCAATTTAATTAATTTCTGATTTAATGTTTTGTGCCAGCCCCAAAATGGGATAATTCAGGATGCAGATCTAAGTTGACGATTACTGTACCAGTAATTCTAAAACAGAGATGGGCAACTTTTCCCCCTTTTGGATGAGACTTTTTAGTTATTAGAAGGCAAGAATAATACTTATTGCTTTCTCTCTGGTGATGGTTACAGTTTAATACACATCTATATATTTCAACCTTCAGAGGAATAAAAAATAAAAATGTTGTAGCTGGAGTTAATACGTGCTTTTCATATGTCTGCATTCTCTTTGCAGGAGCTGTGAACTTGTCCAGCAAGTTGACAAAGATGACATGATTTATCATGTAATTAGTCATACTATCAGTGAGGAAAACAAGCCTATGGACTTTGTTGTCCTGGTATCACGAAGAAAACCTTGCAGCCCTGGGTATGTCAGCTAGGCTATTCCTCAAAAGTCCTGTTTTCATTGGCCTCCTTTTAAATGAATTTGGACTAAGGCTTTCAGAATTTACAATTGGGTATTGTCCCAAATTCATCTGGGGGCACCAGATTGGGAAGGTTGGGGTTGTGTTTGGCTTTAATATTGTATACATCAAAGTTTATTGATCAGCTCCAATCTGATTTGAATTTTAAACAATCAATAGAGAATCAGTTTGATTCATGGACACTGAAGTTTGAATGGTTCCTTTTACTTGTAGAAGTAGGAAAACAAAGACGGCCACTCATCTGCAAAATTCCATTCAAATTTTATTCTGCTCAACAGTTTAGTCTACACTGTCAAATATTTTTTGAAAAGTTGATTGAATTCTGAGATTCAGTTGAATTGTCATGAATTCTCCAAATCAATGTTTTGTGCCTGCATATCTACAGAGGTTATGCTAGTTCTAAGCTGAAATTTTAACATCTGCTGGAAACCTTTTTTTTTTTTTTAAGTAAAAGGGTTCCAGGGTACTTGATAAGTGGAATAAGGGTGCATTGATTGTCCTTGCTTGTTCTGACCACGTTTTCTTTTCTTTTTTCTTTCCTTTCCAGAGACCCCTTTGTTTTAGCATTCAGATCAGTCACATTGCCAACACATCCTATAATGCCACAGTATACCCGAGGGGAGACTCTATGTTCTGGCTTCTGTTTTTGGCAGGAAACAGATAAATTTACCAATGTAAGCATTTGCCTTAGAAGTAGACAACAGTAGCATCATGAAAGTGTTCATACTTGCAAAAGTTCCCTTTCACACTCCCAGTTAGTCTAATTCTGGCTTTCTACAGCACCAAATTCACACCAACTACAGTTTCTGCTAGCCTCCAAACTATTGTTTGGAAATCTTAATTTTTTTATGATTTATAGCATGGTTGTAAGATATATGAGCCCTGAAATGTTGGTGAGCTTTGAGCCAACAAATCTCAGAACTCACCTCGCTGCTCTGGACTGCAACTTGTGTAAGCATTTCAGTTCAATTCCCTAGCATATTCTTCACAGAGTGAACTCTCTTAAATAATGAACTACTTCGGGATTTCCTTTCTATTCATGAATTTTACCTCTTTTTAATTTTATTCATCTGTTTTTGTTTTAATAAAGAAAACATCTATTCAGATTTCTTGACACTTTCTGAGCACTCTTGATGGGATGAATTCTTAATGTGGACACTGTTAGGATCTATTCTTAAAAGTAATTTGATGCTAGCAGTTAATGTTTTTCTCTGTAAGCTATGTAGAAAATATATAATGTCGTGAAATCAGCCTTCATTTGTATAGGTATATATGTCATTGCAAGTTATGGATGAGCAACGTGTGGCTTTACAAATATTTTTAACCAACAGTAATGATTATTAGTAAGTTGTAAGCGACACAGTTAAGGGTTGAAGAAGCCAACAACCAATTATGATTGTTTTAAACATGCCATGATTTATTCATTGGTCTCATGTTGATACTGCATCCAGTCAAAAATATTTCAGCCTCAATATGACATAGCACCCACTATGAAATCCTTAAAGGCAAGAGTTCATTTATAAATTTAGGATATACAGTTAAAATAGATTAAAAGCTGTGTTTCACCCCTAGCGGGATGCTTACATGAGTTGTTTTTTTTGATCACTACCACTTTGCCAATAGAATGGCTCACTCTTGAGCTAAGTGTCTATACATTTGCAATTTCCAGAGACAGCTAAGCATGTTCTTGTGTTTAAGCCTGAAAATGAATCTTCTGGTATTCCATTTGATGCTTATGTTGAAAGAGAAAATTAACAGAATTTATTTGGTCCCAGAGTTTCCAAAGAATCGGCTGATAAACTTTGTTTGTTTCTAGGTGTCATACTATCATCAGGCCACATCAGGTCTGCTCTCCTATATCACAACAAACATAGCTGGCCTGTCTTCAAGTTTCTATCGCACATTTCAAGATTGTGAGCAATTTCTCCTGAAGAACAAAGACAAAGTCCCCGTTGAGCTTCAGAATCCTTAGCTGCACAATCCTTTCTCCTTCTTTTTAAAAAACTGTCCCATGATGAACTTTGTTGCAAATACTATCGGAAATTACTCCATTGGGTATGTGAAGAACAGTGGAGAATTGGAAACAGACTTGTTCGGATGCATCAATTTATATAGCCGGTCATAGGAGAAAACCCATTTATGGTGGCCTCTGAGCTGAATTAGAATTTTCTATCCAGGTTAAGTAAACTTTAGTAATTAGAGTATAAAGGAGCAAAATAGGAAGATTCTTCCGGGATTTTGCAAGTCTTTACTTGCCTTCCATTGGCTTCTGTTGAAGTCCTATATTTATGATGGTCAGAAAAATCTGATGAAGAATAGAACTTCAAACTTGATACTTTTTGGTGAGGGTCTTCTATCACCATTTTTGCCTTGTTCAGGACACTAGGAATTAAAGCACAGATTGCAATTTTGTATTAAATTCAGCTTAAGCAAGCTGTAAATGTGAAATGTATTTTAAAGTGCCTTTTAATCAAGGGAATAGGATTCGAAAGAGTGAAAAGTCATAGGAAGAATTTTTTAACGGGAGAATCTACAACATAACATTGGGGATGGTGGTGGGTTATCATACGATGAAATATGTATGAAACTTCAAAGCACATTGTACAAACACAGCAAATTACCAAAATCATGTTACATGTAAACAAAAATTTTAAACATTCTTTGTGCATAGTTTCTCCTGAATGTTAGGAAATTACTGGTATGTTTTATCAACATTTGATTATTTTGTCACAAAGGAATTATTCCTGTATGAAAATGTTTATCAGATTTATCTTTGGTATTTTGGAAGAAATTTTCTTCTTTGATGAGAGAATACCTCTTTATCTATTTTGGTAGATGGTTCTTTTCCCCTAAGGTTTTGCACAAATTTTGTCATGCAAGTTTCCCAAGCTTTTTAAATGGCTTCTATCGCTGTGGAAGATTATTGAAATCAATGACAATAAAAGTTATGTGAAAGGAAAAAGAATCTTATATCTCCTATTTTTGTTCTGGAAAATATATCAAGTATTCATATGTGTTCCTTTCTTAGTATAAATCAGTGTTGGGAACTTTTAAGATGTGTGAACTTCAACTCTCAAAATTTTCCAGCCAATTTTAAAATGCATGGATTTCAACTCCCAGAATTCTCCAGCCAGCATGGCTGTAATAAATACAGATTAATCAGAAAGGGACAATGGACCTTAACTTTCTAGCCTGTCAAAGTCCAACAACCTCTCAAGAATTTAAGTTCCTCATTCCTGGCTTACATTCATGCACATATTCTTGGATTCTGGTCCCAATAACAGTGGTATATCAATAAAGATAGCTAATAATTTTGATAAGGATATACCTATTACTAGAATAAATTCCACTGGAAAATCTATGATCTATGATATTTATATATTCTATTGACATAACTCTAGTATTAAACTAAGGTTACCATGTAGGTTGTTTTTACTTAGTATTAAGGCTCAATATCATGTGCAAATCCCACCATTATGGTTTGCTAAATTACTGTTTAGTGTTATTTGTGAACAACAACCAAAATGGATGAGTATTAACAGTGAATTCTGGCTTCTTTGCCAACATTTCTTTTGCTATGCTATGTATTCCATATATCAAGTTTTTATCTTCAGAGTAACATTGACATTTTAAATACTCAATCTGAAAGCATACATTGGTGGAAAAATTGTAATAAGTATCGATCAAGATAAAAACCAAAGGTTAATGTCCATATAAGCCAGGAAGTTAAATGAGTAAAACTACTCTTAATTTTCTTTCTTTATATAATTAATTCTAAGTCAGCCAACAACAGAGAAAGGGATCTAAGGTGACTTTAAATTAAAGTGATTCAAAACAGATCATAATAAATGCATCTCAAGTCCATGTTTGTAGACTGCATGCACTGCCTAATTTGTGGGATATAGACAATAATATGTTGTCTTGCAAGTAATTGTATAAATTAGAGATTCTATCTTACATAGAATAATATGAGCATGGTGGGAAAAAGAAGTGGGTTGCTTTGTGCTTTGTGCCTTACTGGATTAAACAAAGCCACAATGACCATGGCGTATGGAAGACTGCAATTTCAAATATAAGAGGAATAATGGTATGAGAAAAGGAAAAGGGGGTTAATGTCTGAAAGTAAGTGAAAGGAAAAGAATTATAGATGTGAATGAAGCTAGCCTAATCTTATAAAGTGAATACATGTAAAGAAACAAAATTTTGATTTTAATAGAAAGGACTTAAATGTATGTAAGAAGTATGTAATTGTGTCATCTAGGTCAGTGATCCCCAACCTTTTTTATGCCGCGGCCCGTTACCGGCATCAGCTGGGCGCCGCCATCTTTTTTTGATGAAAATGTGCTTCCGGTGAGCTTTCTACCCGGAAAAGCTCACCGGAAGCACTTTTTCATCAAAAAAAGATGGCGGCGCCCAGCAAGCCAGCGGCCCGGTAGGACTTGTTCCGCGGACCGGTGGTTGGGGACCCCTGCCTTACTGGATTAAACAAAGCCACAATGACCATGGCATATGGAAGACTGCAATTTCAAATATAAGAAGAATAATGGTATGAGAAAAGGAAAAGGGGGTTAATGTCTGAAAGTAAGTGAAAGGAAAAGAATTATAGATGTGAATGAAGCTAGCCTAATCTTATAAAGTGAATACATGTAAAGAAACAAAATTTTGATTTTAATAGAAAGGACTTAAATGTATGTAAGAAGTATGTAATTGTGTCATCTAGGTGGTTGGGAGCATGTATGAAAATAGGAATTGACAGATTGGTGAAAGTTGAGTTTTGCTGCACATAGAACATAATGGAAGGATGAATGTTGGAAAAATGCAACGTTTTGAATTAACATGTTCCATTCCAGGGAACATCATTCTGTTAGTTGGAATGAAGGGGAACTTGTTGAGAAAGTACAGAAGAAACAATTTAGTTATTTGGAGATTGAAGAATGTGAATGGTGACTCTTTGAATTTCCATTTCTAAAACATGGCTTAAGCCTAGGTACATTCTTTTCATATATGTACCTGAAGAAGGAATTACGGTAATCAAAAGGCATAATTAATTTCTTATCTATAATGAAATAGTAAAAGAATCGGTGAAAGTTTAAAAGTACAGTAAGTACTGAATGTGGGAGAAATTATAACCAGATAGTTCCAGGAAACCAGGATAGTTTGTGGGGAAAAGTAAGTGTGAAAGAAAAAGAAAGATGTGAAAGAAACTAAAATGGAAATAGAAGCAATGTATGAAAAAGTACAGCAAGATAAATTAATCCTCCAAGATAATTAATGCAAAGTGGATGTAAAGAAAGAAGATATGGAAGCATTTTGAAATACAGTGAGAAGAATCATTGCAGACAGCTACAGGGAAGTGTAGAGTTACTCTAATGGAAAGTATGAAAAAATAAGCTTGACGTGATGAAGGTGTTACAAAGAGGTGTTACATTCATGCTTCTGTGTGCTTCAAAGCACCTCTTGGAGATAGTGTTTTACAACCCTGCTCTGTGTGTGTGTGTGTGTGTGTGTGTGTGTGTGTGTGTGTGTGTGCATGCGTGCGTGCATAGAAGGGAGGGAGGGAAATTGTCTTTCCTAAAACAATAGAATTTTGCAATAGTTTATTTTACATTTAACTTCTGGAGTTATTTGATTAATGAACTGGGTAATTAATAAAGTGGCTAATTAATCCGGAGCATCCACGGAGTCATTGAGAGTTGGGTGATAGACAAGAAAAGTTGCCATTGATAGGGCTGCATGCAAGGACAGACACTATTTTCTCTGCCTTTTTCACATCTTTGGACCTGTAAAGTAATATAATAATTTATTATAGATAATTTGGGCAGATAATTGGCTAGCTTTTATTAAATTCAACTAAAATCTAGTAATTATTTACATTTTTTATTTATTCATTTCTATCACTTAACAAGTTCTGTCTCACATTATAATGCTGTCTGAAAAACACAAATCAACCCATAGGTTGATAAGCCTTAAAATAGCTTTATGGCCCAGATAGTTGAAGTCTGAAAAGCTGGTCAATACTTTCCCACATGATGAAATGCTAACAAATCAGGGGCCATCTTGTGAATTCAATTATTCCAGAAGACTAGGACCCTCCTTTAAGAGAGGGGTGTCAAACCCGCATTGTCACGGTGTTGTCATGTGACATATTGGGACTTTTCTCCCCTTCACTAAACTGGGTATGGGCATGGTCACCACATGAGTTTGGGTGTGGCCAGCATGTGATGTATCCGGCCCACAGGCTGCAAGTTTGACAGCTGTGCTTTAAGGTGACACAGTAGTTAGAGTGAAGCATTGCAGGCAAACTCTGCCCATAGTCAGGAGTTTGATCCTGAATGGTTCAGGGTTGACTCAGCCTTCCATCCTTCTGAGGCCGGTAAAATCGGTAAAATCGGGATCCACTTTATTGGGGGCAATATACTGACATTGTAAACTGCTCAGAGCACTGTGGAGCGATATATACTGTATAAATACTATTGCTACTGCTATTCTGCTTCTGGCCTTTCATTCTCTTAAATATTCAAAGATGGGAGACCTATGACATCCCCTTCAAAGCTGCACAAACAAGAGGGTGTTTGTCTGTTTAGAGGATGTATATTTATTTATATTTATATTTCACATTTCTGGATTACCCATCTCCCTCAAAGAGACTCATGCCACATATGACTAAAGATTAATGGCAGCGCTTCTCCCTGTACTGAGAAACCTACCAGCCACCAGTACAATTGGGTGAAGCAGGTGAACTGCTGCCTTCTGTATCAACTCGTATTTACATCTATAAATGCACAACCCAACTGCTTGCAGGATGGGTTTCTTGTGAATCTCCAAAGCTATCTTAAATAAATGCCATATTAAATACGAGCGGGCTCTGAAAATCCAGTTCGTGTTTGAGAATGCCCAAGCTTTTAAAATGCTCCCAAATCCCTTTGGCTTGCCATTAGCTCACTTGCTCTGATATTACAAGAACTTGAAAACAAGAAACAGTCTGTGAGGCTTTAGAACAGGGGTGTCCAACCTTGGTAATGTTAAGCCTGGAGGACTTCAACTCCCAGAATTCCCCAGCCAGCTTGGGGAATTCTGGGAGTTGAAGTCCTCCAGACTTAACGTTACCAAGGTTGGACACCCCTGGTCTAGAGATTAGTATGAATTGAATTTATTTGCTGGCTGGGGAATTCTGGGAGTTGAAGTCCTCCAGGCTTAACGTTACCAAGGTTGGACACCCCTGCTTTAGAATTTGAACTTCATCTCCACCTGAGTTGGATGACTCAGCCTTGATACAGTTTGGTTCAATAATCTTGGGACCTCTGAATCGGCATGCGCAAAATTATCTGCCCGTTTCCAAGATGCACTGTTAGTACTATTTTTTATGGTGTTTGCATAGGTGCAAAAAGTGCTGGTTTTTTTCACCATCTTGTAAATGAGTACTGGTCTTATGAATCCTTGGCTTATTTATGGCTGTATAATAAGCTCATAATTAAGTGATGTCCTGAAGTGGAGTGTTTTAGGCTCTTGCTTTGCTCTGAACTCTCAGATTACATCCCCCTGTGTAGTTTTAAACAGATTTGGCTATTTCAAGAGTCAGTAGGGAAATGAATGACTTTCTAAACAAAAGACAGATGGACTTTCCATTCTGATGTTGATAGGGGTGAACAAATCAACTCTCCTAAAATTCCTTGTGGTCCTAAGAACTCTTAATGGGAAGTTTAAACATTCACCAGCACTGCTTAGGTCCATTATGTCCTCTTTACGTGTAGTATTGTACTACTTACAAAATTGGCAGAATGCTCATGTAAAACTCATAATCAGAAAATAAATTGCAGTCTACTGATAGATTTGCACTGTATTACCCAGCTGGCAAAGCTGCTGTTTAGAAGTGTGTTACTTTTCACCAGATCTTGTAATTCTGACAACCAGGTTTAAAGCAGTGGTATGGTGGTCTATTCTTTGATAACGAAAATACAAATCTGTACAACTTCCCATTCCTTGTGGGTTTTTTCCTTCTTTAAAAAATATCTTTATTGAAAGAATATCTTACAAAGATTTTTAAAATTACAGAAATGTACAAGACGAAGTAAAAAGAAAAAGAAAGGGTAATGGAAAAAGTGAAGAAAAACAAAAAAGGAAAGAAAAAGGCATTTAAAATAACGACTTCAGTCTTCTTTGCTGCAGTTAGAAACACAAATCTTTTAAATACTTTTTAATCAGTAAATCTCCAAATCCCCACTAGATTTTTATTCATCTTCAGCCAAAAATCCATAAAAGGTTTCCAAATTTTTTTAAATAAAAGTGGTTCCTACTTAATCAAAACAAATCAATTTAGCAATTTCTGCAAACTCAGCTATCTTGACAACCCATTCCTCCCCTACTGCTGTTTCCATAGTTTTCCATCTTTGTGCCTATAAAAGCCTCACTGCAGTTATATATAAAACTAATTGTTCAGGAGATTTTTTAAAGTTGACTGTCCATAAATCCTAATCAGAAAAGTTCTGCTTTTATCTGAAATTTAATTTTTAGAACTCCCTGCATTACCATATGTATATCAAACATTTGTTTTGCTTTTTCACAAGTCCATCATACATGATAATATATCCCTTTGTGTTTTTCATATTTCCAATGATGATTAGATTACTTTTATACATCTTAGATAATTTCTCTGATTGCATACACCAACAGTATACCTGTTACTGCTGGCTGAATATAAAGTCAGACAGACAAACTCTACAAAGGCTTCCATACAAAGTTTCTTTATTGGATCACAAGGCATTCTCAAGGTTATGGTTAAAGTCAAAACTCATGGTTATGTCGAGATCCATCTTAATGTCCAAATCTTTGCATAGTTGACTTCATACTGTGAAAATATAGTGATCTTCATCCCATAATGATGGAGCAAAGGGTGAGACACCAGCACGATGCTGGAGTCCAAGCAAGAGTAAAGGAAACTCCCCCAACCCGACCAAGGATCAATTCAATGACCGATCAGGATTACAGATGTGACCACATGACATGAACTACATTTCCCATGATGCATTAACTACATTTACCATGAGGCATTCCCTTAAGGGGACAGCTCCCAATTCCTTCTTATCTATCCCAATTCCCAATGAACTATATACTGTCTGGACAGCACAATACCATTTTTAAAAAGTGTTATCCAAATTGTAAGACAATGTGAATTTCAGGCCTCGCTGGTGCAGTGGTTAGAGTGCAGTACTGTAGGCTACTTCTGCTGACTGCCGGTTGCTGCAATTTCACAGTTCAAATCTCACCAGGCTCAAGGTTGACTCAGCCTTCCATCCTTCCAAGGTGAGTAAAATGAGGGCCCAGATTCTTGGGGGCAATATGCTGACACCGCTTAGAGACGGTGTAAAGCACTGTAAAGAGGTATATAAGTCTAAGTGCTGTTGCTATTGCTTTTAATCACATTCTATTCCATTGATCCACCTGAATATTATCACCAAAATTCTTGGGCCATTTTTAACATACATTCTATTAAATTTGCTCTTCCTCTTTTTTTCAAATCTCAACAAAAAGTCATACATTTTAACTATCAGATGTTCATCCTTTGTATGTAATTCATTTTCAAATCCCATTGTATCATATTCTATTCCTGGTAGTTTTTTAATCTGTATTAAAAAAAATTCTTAATTTGCATATGAGAACCCTTGAAAACTAAATCCCTCTCCAGTCAATTGTTCGCTTGGTTTCAACTTAAGCTCCCCATTCTCCTGTGCTAGGAAGTCTTTATATGTTAACCATTTATTTTTGCCAGGTGTTTCTTGTCTATAAAACACTTCTTGAGTTGAGGCCAACAAAGGTATTTCATGGTATAGCCCATGTTTGTATCTATTCCATATTCCTAGTATTATGTTCCTAATATAATTATTTTTAATATCTACATTTTAAAAATACCATACCACTTTATCATACCATAAGTAACAATGCCATCCAAACCTCAGACCATGTTCTTCTAAATCTAAAAGTCTCTTATTTCTTAACACTAGTCATTCCTTCATCCAAACCAAACTGCAGATAGGAAAATACCATTTAAGACCAGGTGATTCAATCCTCCCGTTTCTTTTCCATGTTGGAGAAACTTATATTTAATCTTTGGGATTTTTTTCTCTCCTGCCTTCTAAACCTGGGTATTTCGTTTGCACTGTTCAAATGGTACATCAGTTCTCAAAACAGGTATTGTCTGAAATAAGAATAACATTCTAGCTAATGAAGACATTCTTCCCAACAGTGATATTTGTCATTTTTCTCACATTAATAAATCCTATTTAATTTAATTTCATTCCATATTTTATTTTGAAATAACTAACAAGACATGGTAGTAATAGTAATACCCAAATATTTCCCTTTTTCCCCAATCCAAAATCTAGCTTTTATAGATAATTCCTTTTGCTCTTCCATCTTTATATTCTTTGTCAATATCTTTATTTTTTCCTCAGTTTTAAATCCAGTCAATGCACCACATTCCAAGATTTTTTCTTTAATACAGCTGTCCCTTTTAGGTGGTCTCCCAAAATTAAAGTCAAATCATTAGCAAAGGCGCCCTTCATTTATACACTTTTTTTAAAAAAAACTTTCACTCCGATAATTTTGTTATCTTGTCTTTTGGCTTTATTTGAAACATTAAGACCCAGAATGAATAACTATGCAAAAAGTGAGCTTTCCTGCCTCATTCCTTTTTGTATTTGACAAGGCTTGATCAACCTTCCTTCATATTTATTTGTACAATTTGTGAAGTATGTATCAATTGAATCCATGTAATAAAGTTGTCTCCAACGTCTGTATCTTCCAAAATCCGAAAAGTCCATTTTAAATTGTCAAACATTCCCTGTGTTGTAAATTGGCTGTACATTAATTGGTTCCATTCTTTTTCCCAAAATTTTTCATTTAGTTTCTCCATCTTCTTTTTGCACTTGACTCTGGTTGAGAGACTTTGAGGTTATAGTAAAAAGGAAAAAGAAAAGAAAGAAAGAAAAATAAATCAACCACATCAAAATAAATCAAAATAAATTAACCATACCTGTTAAAGTATGTTTCTGATGTACAGTTTTGTGACTGAATCATTTCTGATTTCATCACTTATTACTTAAAGTTAAAAAATAATAGTTTTAAACACTTCTTTTATTTGATTCCTGGAATATATATATTACTGCAAAGCTTTTTATAACCAACTGCCTAGAAAAGGGAAAATGAGTAATGCTCTTTGATTACCTGAAACGCAAATAAGTTTGTGCTGTCTAATCAGATGCTCTTATCTTGTTGGAAACATTAAGGCTTGTTATTTATTTAAAGAAGTACAATTGTTGTACTCACATGCCAATTTTTTGAATTGAGACAAAATAGGTTCATAAAGGTCATAGTAGATTTGTTCAGGTTTGCTGTTGTTTCGAATAAACAGAAGATCTTCCACAGTAACTGGATCAGTCTTCCCTTGCCACAAAGTCAGGCTGTATCTAGAAACAAAAGATACTTGGGCCTTGAAAGAGATTTTCAGAACTTATGTAGTTGCCTCTCCCTCTCCCTCTCCCTCCCTCTCTCTCTCTCTCCCCTTCTCCCTCTCCCTCTCCTTCTCTCCCTCCCGGCCTCCCTCCTGCCCTCCCTCTTTCCCCTCCTTCCCACTCTCTTTCTCTCATACACACACAGTGAGAGAGACTTTGATTTAATCATGATTTGTTGAACAAACTACAGTCAGTCTTGCAGATGAGAAAGCAATAATGGCTTGTTCTGCCAATTCTGATTTATTCTTTATTCTTCTTCAAGTATCTGGGAGAAACCAATTCTGATTGAGCGCTTTCAATCCAGATGTGATGGGATCACCAATTCCAGAACTTTCATTCAGTCTGGTCACTTGGCTAAGAATTCTAGGAACCATTCTTTCATTACTTGTAAAGCACAGACATGAGTGAGGGAGGATGGTTTGAATACATCAAGATACAGCCATGCTATCAAAACTCTCACCTTTTGGATTGACTCAGAAGCCAACTCAGATGAGTCCAGGCTGGTTTTACCATGACAGCTCTTACAGGGAAGGTGATTTGCTGAGGGAGGTTTCCCACAAGGGAATGCATTTCCTCCACCATCCTCTGCGTATAGGTCTTGTTTGGAAAGTGAGCTAAATAGAGGGTTGTCCATCCCGGAGAAAGAGTGCAGTTTGGAAACTTCTCCTGAATGAGAGTCAGGAATCTAAGAAGCAATCGATAACAACCATGTAGTCACAGTTCCATATGCATTAAAAGAAGAAAGCCATTTATAAGCCTTCTCCATACTGGACTAGGCATGATTTTATGTGCAGTATGTCCATTGGACAATTTGATTTAGAAATAACGTTTGATATCCAGAGACTCAGTCTGGCTCCAAGTGAATTTCTATTGACAAGGTATGGACTTGAATTGACATCTTCCTAGCTAAAATCTAGAAAGCACTACAGAAAAGTTTATCAGTATGCAGGGACAACTTACTCACATGATAAATCCACAATTTCATTTGGAGAAGACAGATTTGGCATGTGCTTTGTGGACATCTCATGTGACTTTCTGACTGTGGCAGCCAAAGTGTCTGGTACATCCTGGCACATGTACATTTCTAATCAAATCTGCCAATCTGCTATCTCAGATCTTTAGGACAACTTCATTAAAGATTAGGTTTATTATCTTGTTATTCATCAGATGTAAACACAGTAATCTGTTACTTGTCTTAGATAAGGGCTACAACAATAAAAGTTAATGCCTCTTATAAAAGAATATTTTCTTAATATATAGCATCAGGAAAGGAGGAGTCATAGCTCAGGGATGAGAAGTCATAGATTCAGTCCTAGTTTATCATAATAGATTACTGCCATTCAAAGCTTCATTGACCAACTTTTTTTTTAAACGTGGTATCAAATATTTGGGTTATGCCTCTTATCTCCAGCTAACGATTCTAAAGGCACCAGAGTGAAAAAAAAGGCTATTATAGATAGGATTGTGGTCAATGAACCAATAGTTTGTCTTGGCTTAAGGTGGCTTTTTATGGTCCTTGGAAATAAGTAGTATAATACATACTTTTATATAAATATAAGAGAAGTTCATTTTACTCACTGGCTTGCATTAACTGCAATATCAATAGGAACATTTGGCCCTTTCAGAATATCTGCGTTTAGCCAAACAGGTCGGTCAATATTCAACTCAGAAGATGTTTTTAGTAAGATATCCAAAGATGGACCCACTGTCTTGATGTTTTTGAAGTCCAGCTTGATCACTACCGGCAAGAAGAAGAAATCCTTGAGAAAGCTTTATTTCTTTTCCCCATTCATTCCAATTGATGTCTCTTTTTTAATAGCAGTGTTATACCTTTATCAGATAACCTGAGCACTGTCGTTAGCCAATCCTGAAGTGTATTGTCACTGTAGATGACAGGGGGGTGGGCCATAATCGGTTTCTCTGTCTCATTGGGCGTATTGTATCCTTCAAGGATGACATCAGATTCTAGCGCCATGACATCAGCTGCCCTCAGAGAGAAGGAGAAAAAGAGAACATTGAAAAATGAAGGGAGGCTTTTCATGGAAATTCCATTGGAACAACTTATATGCATAAAAATTACCAAGGATTTATTTCAAATTTGAGGACCTAGGAAGGGATGGGAACAAGGATTAAAGTAGTGCTGTGCAGCAAATCATCTGTAATTTTTGTTAACATGCAGCTCAGAACTTTTATGGGATTCCCTGAAAGAGCATTTGCTTTGAGGATTTTGTTTCAACAGACAAGAACAAACTCAGTGAAATTCTCATAAATGATGTCTGATAGTTCTGTACTTACTTAAGTTACAATTTTGTCCAATAACTCATCACATTCTACCATCATCTCTCCAACAATCTGTAGCCTTCCTGACTTCCATACCTCAATTGAAATCCAAGGGATATCACAATAACAACACTTTTGCCATAGTCTTCTTCAGATTGAAAATGTGGGCTAATTCTAAGCCACTTCCAACAATAAATAAGCCCAGAAACATTACCAAGAAAAATTCAAAGGATATTCTCAAACATTGAACAAGAGAGAGGGAGGGAGGGAGGGAGGGAGATTTTTTGTGAGGGGCTTTTGAGAAATTGCAAGCAGATTTTGGCATATCAAATCTCAGGTTCAGTTATTAGCATCACTGCACAGGGCTGAAAATATTACTGAGAACATCTATCCATTAATGAGTTAGATAAGTCAATGACCAATTCAATGTAAAATAACTTCTTACTTGTCCATAGATACTGTATAAAGTCTGTGCTTCTCTTTCAACTTTTATTTTTGGCTATTTTTAAAATGAAAAAAATCAGCACACATGAGGCAAAAGATGGCACAATTTTCTAAATGTAAAGTGACTGGCAGTTTTTTGGATGCATAAAATTAACAAGCTGTGAAGATAGCCAAGGCCTCCTGGTTGCTTTTGCTACACAACCCACCATTCTGAGATCTGGCCCCTATTTTTTTAGTATTTACAAGTTTGGATCTATGGCTCTATGTCCATGATGGCAAACCTATGGCTCGCATGCCAGAAGTGGCACGCAAAGCCCTCTCTGTGGGCATGTGCACCATCGCCAGCTGTTCTTCTGGTTTCTGGCACTCCAGTGCACATGAAGGCCACCTGTCCGGTGTGTGCTTGTGTACCGGTCAGCTGGTCTTCAGGTTTCAGCACTCCGGCATGCACGCACATACTCACACTTTCCAGTTTGGGCACTCAGTGTCGAAAAGGTTCGCCATCACTGCTCTATGCTCTTTTGTTCAAAGTAGAGTTTCTTGTTTTCCTGTTACAGTAACATAGTCCAGCAGTAAAGTACATGGTGACTGTATTATTTTTTTGCCCTTGTGTGGTGCTTTATATATAAAACAGAATTTCTAACACTTTTCCATCTGCTCCCCAAATGATTTGGGGGAGGGGGGTAGCCAAATTATGGAGGTATGACTATTTAAAAATTATACACCAGACATATGCTTTGGGGATTTTTTTTTTCATTCTAAATCCATTCTAAAAAGTACACAGTACAGTTTTAAACTCCAGTAATTTCCTAAGTAGGTAAAATTATGTTAATTTTCTGCTTGCGTTGGATTTTTTGATTCCTCTTATTGGGCATCTCTGTAATCTTGCTAGGTAATCATCATCTGAATAACACTTTGTACCATATCTATTATATGAATAGGGAATTTCAATTGTTCCTGTCCCCCAATAATTCGTCAATTCTTCATAAAATATGTGATTTTCTTCATACTCAAATAAATGTTTGATTTGTTTCAAAAGGTTTAATACATAAATTTGATAAACAAGGCATAGGATTCTACCTTCCTATAACTATGACAAGGTGGTAAGTCATTTCAAGCAATTCCATACAAAATGCAGTGTTTTGCATACTAGATATTTGTAGAGTACAACTAAAACCATTCACTTATCATTATCATTCCAGTTTAATCAGGCGTAGGATTCTACCAGTTCGCACCTATTCGCTAGAACCGGTTGTTAACATTCTAAGCAATTCGGAGAACCAGTTGTTTGAAGAATTTACTGTCCTAATCCTGTAAGGAAGGTAGGAAGGAAACATTCTGGTGTTGCTTACAGCCTCTCCATTAACTCTTATTACATTCTTGGCAGGACTAGACTTCCTGTCTCTGGAACTTCTCTGGAGTTTTTTCCCCCTCCTTTGCTTGTGTGGAGTGACCATTCAACATTACAATGGCACTGAAAAAAGTGACATGACCATTTTTCACACTTACAACTGTTGCAGCATCCCCACAGTCATGAGAGGCCAGGCGAGGAGACACGTGCCTCGATATGAGTGATATTGAGTTGGCCATGCCCAGCCAATAACATGACTACTAAGCCACTCCCACCAACTAAGCCACATCCACAGAACCAGTTGTTAAAACATTTGAATCCCACCCCTGAGTTTAATCCATCTTTTTTCCTCATCACTGGAAGATTTCAAGGACTTGACTAACAGCAAAGAATGATTTGGTTCATGTGTTAAAATTTAACAGAATTTTTAATTTATAATCCACTTCTTGGTGATTTAAAGAAATGTTCAGTCTTTATCTATAAAACTAAAATTAGACCAGAACGTTTTTTAAAAATGGTTTGTTTCTTATTGAAATAAATTTATAAAATATTGCAAGCATTGTGCCTATTAAATAATGTTTATTTGTGTTACCAAGGGGTCTAAGAATTCAAAGCGTTGGATTCTTTTTTCAAATAGACAAAAGAAAGGGCATTTGTTTTTCAGGAAGCAAGTAGAACCAGTTACGATTTGCTTACTTAGTGCTACTAACCTGTTCAGTCAGGCATGTTGTTATTTGATGGTGAGTGACGTACTCCCAGTTCATTTATAATCTATTTCCACTACAATTGGAAGCAATTATAGCTATTAGGGTTGTAACTTTTGGAAATGTTTTCAGTGTAAGTGACATCACTTGCTAGCCTTCTCCTCATCCCTGGAGCAATTTTGCACACATTTTATTATGCAGAAATAATTGGACCATGTACCACTTCACTTTTAAGGGGAAAACAAAACTGGACAGCCTGCATAAAAGAAGGAGGAGTGGGACAAGGAAGATTGCCAGCTCAGTCCACCCTTTGATTTACAATAAGTTGTTGCTGCTGTTTTTCTTAGCATTTAATTCAATGATTGAGTGTTTACTTATTTTTGCAGCTCCCTCATCAATTCTTGCAATGAAATTTATCAACGAATGATGCAATAAGAAGGTTTATTTATCTGTTGGCACAGAACCAAATGCTGTTTAAGGCTAAAAAGAAAATTAAATTCACCCAAGGTTATCTAACTATTTTGTGTATCCCGAAGAGGACTAGAACCTAGATTGCCAGCTCCTAGCACCTTAAATGCTACACCACAAATTGGAATGTATTCCACTACAGTTGCTCTGTACATAAGTGCCTCCTCAGCAGGTTCTGTCCACTTCTGTAGAACTGGTTGCTCTGGAGAGCAGCAAACAGAGAGCATACATAGAACCGGTTCTATGTTTGCTGCTGTTTTGGCCCACCTGCCCGCCCAGGCTCTTACCTGACTTTTATTTCCTGCGTTTTCAACCGCAGCTGCTTTGCGTGACACAGCTGCGGTTGAAAAAGCAGGAAAAAAGGGCTTTTGCAACCGCTGCGCACTTGCACGTAGCGCTGCTCAGCTATCTGGGCAGCTCAGCAGCTCGTAAACTGCACATGCACGCATGACGCAGAGCGACAGAACCCGTAGTTATACCCACCGGATCCCATCCCTGCTCCTCAGTCCTCACCACTTCTGTTAGAACCCCAATCAAGAACAGATTAGAGAGGAGACACCAAATGCCAGGTTGGTTGTTAGGCAGAAGGAAATGTTACATTGGGAGTGGCTGGATAAAAGAGTAGTTCAGGATAAAGGGAACAAAAACAAGAACTGGAGTAGTTATGGGAAAAGATGGGATTGCTAAGAAAATGTTGGGTGTGTGGAACTAATGGAAGGTTGGGAAAATCATTGTATTTGAGGAGGAATGTGTAGTGGAGTGACTGGAAAATAGACAGGCAGCACACCAGAGAAAGAAATTTGAGGAGCATCTGGGAGTTTCTAATTGTGGCATCTTGTCTGCTCAGCTCTGGCAGCACTGTTGGCATAGCAGTCACTTTAAATGCAGTGAAAACAGCCAATACACCCATGAACAAAACCTGGCCAATTATAATGGAAAATGGCAAAAAAAAAAAAAA